TTTTTTTTTTTGTTGGTGGTTGTTGTTTGTTTTTTTTTTTGTTGTGTTTGTGTTTGATTGGTTGTTGTGTGTTGATGGGTTGTTGTGTGTTTGATGGGTTGTTGTTGTTGTGTGTTTGATGGGTTGTTGTGTTGTGTGTTTGATGGGTTGTTGTGTGTTTGATGGGTTGTTGTGTTGTGTGTTTGATGGGTTGTTGTGTGTTTGATGGGTTGTTGTTGTTGTTGTGTGTTTGATGGGTTGTTGTGTGTTTGTTCCACAGAACGATGATGGCAAAACGTCAGTGAGAGACCGATTTAACGCCAGGCAGTTCATGTCTTGGTTACAAGATGTTGACGACAAGTTCGACAAACTGAAGGTGAGATCGCTGGGATTATAATTGTGTTCTCACGTTTTCTCTTAAAAGTTTAAAGCAAATGTGTTTTAATTGTTTTGGTTCCATTTCAACGTTCTCTCCCGTATTCCTCATGGAAACCCTCCGGCACATATCTCTTACTTTGTCCATCCAAGTTTTAGGTATTTGCTTTTTTGGCAGGCTGTAAACATTCCTCTTGTTTATACCAACCATAAATGGATCCCTTTCCCACGTTAGAACATCACGTTGGAACATCATCTGTGATCCTCGTTTGTTTTTGTAAATATACATTTAAAAATGAAAGAGATAAATATGAGGCTACAGCAGATGATGGGTTCCAAAGTTAGAGCCTATTTGGTGTAAAATGCCCTTGTTTTCTAACTATCCTTAACCTATTCAATCTAACAAATAGTAATCTATTACGCAGTGGAGTATATTAATTCATTGTTAACCATTCAAAATATACCGTGTTTATAATCAAATGTATAAAAGTCTACAAGCTTGAAACTGCTTTGTTACTGATGTTCATTTCATAGGAGGAAATAAAATGTTAAGCATCAGCTTGCACGTTCTACTTTAAAGCAGATGTGTCTCTTGGCGTGAAGAAGTGGAATTATTTGCCGAATGATTGAAAGGGCTGTAAGAACATTGTTATGTTTAAGGAAATGTATAAAGAAAGTGTAATTAGACGGTATGAAGTTGACTTTTGATTGTGTTCTGGTTTTATCAGGGTGTCCGCGGGGTCTTAAAAAATTACAAGTTGATAAATTAATTTAGCGAAAATGAAGGCTATTAAAAGTATTAAACGGCATTTTCCAAGGTATTACATTTTGTAGCTTGTTTTCAATAAGTATCTAAATGGTCCAAAGAGGTTGTATTCTACAGTCTGCCTGAATGTAATCATTGCGTAGGTGTGTAGTGTGATTCTGTGTAGTTTATTGATGGCATCCCGTTGGGTTTGACGTCATCTGAACAGGACATCGCACGCTCACTGCTTGATAGCGCGCGAAGGTCCGTTTACGCCGGTTGTTAAACAACATCGCTATGGGGAAATGCAAGTTTGCGTCCAAATGGTTGGAAGATGAGGAGGAAGGACAATCAATACTGTATATAGTCAATGTGAGGTAAAGTGTGTCGCCAAGGTAACCGGTTAAAACTCAAAGTGGCGACGAGGTCTTAAGATGTATGGAAAGGGTCTTAAAAAAGGTCTTAAAAGGAATTACATCTGACTTCAGGGTTCCTGCATAGACCCTGATTATGTTTCAGTATTTGTAAGCCACTGTGACTGAAAGAATATTGCTTTTATGGTTATTTTTTTTGTTGTAATATTTTAAGAAGGGGCAGGTCAAATAAGATTGTATTCTCCCTGCTCCATTCCACCATGCGCTATAAAGTACATGTTTTGTTTTAAAATAACTGCCATGAGTGGAATAAATAAATCCAATTTGCAGGTTTTTCCCATGTTTGTCTTTGTGGTCTTCTCATGACCAAATCTACCTTGAAAAAAGACATTGTTGAACTACATAGGAAGGTGTGGTTGTATAAAATGATTAACGTGTACGTTTCCCCCCTCAGACGTGCCTCCTGATGCGGCAGCAGCACGAGGCGGCCGCTCTGAACGCCGTGCAGCGTCTGGAGTGGCAGCTCAAACTGCAGGAGCTCGACCTGGCCACATACAAGTCCACCAGCATCTTCGAGATCCCAGAGTTCTACATCCCGCTGGTGGAGGTCAACGACGACTTCGACCTCACCCCGATATGAGCGGCGGGACGGACGAGCTCTGACGGCGGCGGCGGCGACGGACAGATCCCGGACACGAGAGGCAGCACATTCACAGAAGAAGAAAATGTGAAGCACCTAGAATGTGGCGATGAAACACAACGAGCATTTAGAAAAGAGGTGGTTTCACTCCCAACGCTCTCACAGTCCGAACCGGCACGAGGACTCGGTTCCTCCTGCAGGAGAAGGAGGTCCAGAGGAACCCAGACGCTGGGGGGGGGGGGGGGTCAGGAGGAGGAGCAACGTGTGGACGAGGACCACCGGCTCCTCCTGCAGCACGGTCACACAACTGAAAAGAGTTCAATTGTTTTCAAAGTGAGTGTTGATACATTGTGTACAGACTGTGCTCTTAATTTTTTAACTTATTTTATACATAAAACAATTGTGCATTTGTAAATAGCCATGTAATTATTGTTTTAAACTTGTAAAAACAAAAAATAGATATTTTGATTGTAAACTTGTTCCGTCTCATGTTTAATGTCCAAAGTTGGTTTTTATATCTTCTGCTTCGTCCGTGGTGTTCTTGTTCTTCTCGTTGTTGTTGGCTTCAGATCTTAAGCACGTGTTGGCTTTCGTTGTTTTCTCTTTTTTCTGGTTTCCTTCCTCACCTGGAGCTTCACGCCACAGCTGGTGTTTTTTGACTTTGGCAATTAAATGCTGTGCATGCGTTGCGTTGTTTGTACTTGTTTCCTAAAGAGCTGTACTGTGGGCTTTGTGAGGTTTACTGAAGTGTTCCAGCTTTTTGTTATGTCCCTCACTCCTCGTGTGTTGTCCATCGTGTCTCGCGCACATTTACAGTCTGTTGTGGCTTCCAAGGGAAAAAAACACATACTTTTACACTTTCAATGTGAGATCACAACAAAACCTATTTTTTCAACATAATGCCTTTTTGAACAATAGTTCTAAAAAATGTCTATTTTAATATTTACTTGTTACATGACTTGTACATATTTGTAATATATAATTGAATAAATTTTATTTGTTGTGAAATTAAAATGGTTGGACTTGGTTTCATTTATCGTGCAGCGCGAGAAATAACGGCTGAATCCATCGGTCGATAATATAAGATAATGATGATAAATTATATTGACAATTGTTTATTTATTAAATGTATATATATTTAGGTTTATAAAGATGCCACAGTGGTTTTGTTTTCTAAAATGTTGGAAATATGTAATATAAACTAGGCTTTTTAATATAATGTGTATTTATTATTTTAAAAAGTATTAAAACTGAGGTTGCAGACCCTGTAATTAAGATGTACCTTTAATGAGTGCTAATTCTCTTAAAAGCTGTATCATTCTCGGCCAGTAGGTGTCGCTGTACAGTCGGCTCAAAGTGCTGCAGACTGAACAATTATCTTTATTATCAAACGTTAGTCTAACTATACTATACATCTATCATTCCAATAATATATAATTATAACAATCCAACATCTTGGATAATATTGGATTTTGGCTTTGACCAATGCTATTTTAATTTAACGTCAGAATAAAGAAGAAATCGTACATTTTCTTTTCAGAATCAGCTTCAAAAGCCAAGTAAATATGTAAACAAATAATTTGACTCCATTGTGTTGCTCTCTATTCTTACACAGACAATATACAGCTAAATATAATAACTACAGAAAGTTGAACAAAGTTATATAAAACGTTGACTACTATATATTTGTACATATATCTCAAACAACTAAATAGCAAGCCAGAGTGCAAAGGCTGCTGGAATTAATATAGGATTCATGTAACATAACATGTCACGATAATTACTAAAAATATAATTGATAGTGGGGTTTATTCACATGTTTAGTGTTAATGCCTGGAAACAAAACAAATATTCCGTGTTTAAATAAGTTGACATGTTTGTCCCTCTTCTTAGACTGGATTTACATTTAAAGTGTTTTCATTGAAGGTGTGTCCTCCCTCCCCTGCAGGCTGGAAGTGGGGCCTGTTGTGTTTGATGGAGTCTTAGGAAAACACGTGTAAACACATGTGGAGTGAAATGGCCCATCAGAGACTCTCCCGATAGCAGACTCTCGTTTCTACAAATGAGCTTTGTTGGGGAGGGGAGGGGGCTTCACAGCGGGAAGTCTGCAGCTTCACAGCTTCCGAATCGCCCTTTCTCACCTAATGAGGACACTCATAAAACCCGCTGATAAGACCGCAGACAAAGGGCCGTGTAATGGAGTGGGGGGTGGCCCGGGAGAGAATAGCTTGTGTAGAAAAAAGGAGTTAGAACAGAACCCACCTGGGCGGCGAGAAATGACCCGAGTTTGGTCTAAAAAATATATATTTTACGCACAAGACTTTTACGCACAGCGTGGCGCAGATGTTAAAGTGTGTCTCCCGGTGTTCATGATGCGGATTTGTTCACGGCCGTCACCCTGAAGACACTCCGGTGTGTGTGTGTTGACCTGAGGCCCGGTGTTTTCCTCCGCAGACTGTTGGGGAGAAAATGGAGTGTGTGCCTTTAAGGCGCCCGACTGCCTGTCGCTTTCTGCTGCGGAGAGACTGACGCCCTCTGGACACAGTGGACACTTGAGCTGCGGCAGAACACCATCCTGGAGAAGTTCAAAGAGAAAACAGCCACTCTCCCTGTTAAAAAGAAAAGTCTCGGATTTGTTAACAGCGCTGAGGTAAGTTTAAACTCCCTCTCTCTGTGTTGTGTCGCTGTTTCCTGCACTGCTTTCTCATGTGGCTGCGTGCGAGTGAAACAAAGTTTTTGGTGTTAGCGATGAGCCCCAAAAAGAGAGGTGAAGAAACGCGTCCATGAGTGAGGCAGCTAATGTTCCTCACATGTTCTCTGCTGAAGTGGAACAATGTGCAGCAAAGTGGTGAAGTGTAAAAAGCAGCAGACAGTGTGTTCACGCGCTACACTTTGGGAAAATAGGTGAAGGAGGCTGATGTTGCCAGATGTGTGTGTTGTTATCCCTCTGTAACAGTGTGAGTGAGGTCTGGCTTTGAATGAAATGTGACGCAGGCCTTTTAGAAAAGTGATGTTTACATGTCAAAGTTCTTCTAGATCACAAAGCTGAAATGTCCCTTTATTTTGTACTCACTTCTTTACGTTTTTGCTGCAGTTTGTAGCACTACAATTACGTTGTAATATACTACAATGTTAAAACAAACCAGTCCTGTACTGTAAAAGTACTCGAATAAAGGGAATACAGATAAAGACATTATTCATTATTGTTGCTTAGTTCTACATATACTAAAATTCATCAGCAGTTCATGGTTATAAAACAAGAAATTACATTTACAGTTATGCAACTAATGTTTATTTTCTTATTGATTAATCTGTATTTATTGTCTCGTGTCATCTATTGGTTTATTTAAAGTGAGGGAATAGATGAAAAAGTCTACTCCCATATTCTTGAAGTCAAAATGTATAACTTTAAATGTCTTTTCCTGCTGAATCCAAAACCCAAAGTTGTTCTATTTAACAGATGAAGGAAATTGCCTTCTTTTAGAAGCCCTTTTTGCATTTTAAAAACTACCGGCATGATGATGGTTTCAGCTCTTCTTACTTTACTTTGCAACTTTATATCTGAATTGTGTAAAAAAAAAAAGTGTCTCCTACTTTGTATTAGGAATCTCAAAGTGTATCATTTCCATCATGCACCACCTTTTGTGTCCTCTTATCTTTTTAACTGCAGCTCTTCACTTCTCCTCCTGTGGAATGTGTGTGATGGAGTTGTGTTTATTTGTGCAGGTCTCTGAGGTCCTGTCCTGTGTCTCGTGTTGTTCTAGGTGTTTCCAGTGCCGTGCTGGTGAGCCGTCAGGATGAGGCCTGGTCAGCTGATCCTCCCCGCCGCCGCCGCGCTCCTCTTCCTCCTCGCAGGACTGTCCCCGACCTCCGGCTGCAACAAAGCCCTCTGCGCCAGCGACGTCAGCAAGTGTCTCATCCAGGTAAAACACATCCACCTTTTCTTTACATAACTACTCTGCTGCATGATGGATTCACTCATCAACTTGACCACAATGACTTTCCCTTCTGGCTGCACTGATTCTCTGAGTCACTAGCAAATTAATTGCACAAGGTATTTGGGAGTTTAGATCTTTATTTTAATTTTAAACGATGGATATTTGTGGCAAAATGTTGTGTCTCTGGCTCCTCCAACAATGCAACTTACAATATACTTAAAGAGGCCCTCTTTTGCTTTTGGGCGTTTTCCCTTTCTTGTAGTGTTATATAGGTTTTTGTGGATGTAAATGGTCTGTAAAGGCTAAAAGCCCTGTGGTCCCCCCAGAAGTTCCCCCCCCCCCCTGCATGAAACGCCTCCATTGGACTCCTTTGTTTACTTCCGTAACATATTGACATCACTATGTTACACTTGTGCATCTATTGGCTAGTAATCCAACAAACTGAACATGATAGGCTAAAGGGCGGGACATCTCTAAACGGTTGACCAATCACAACAGAGCTGGCCAGCTAACCAATCAGAGCAGACTGGGCTCTGGTTTCAGACGGAGGGTGAAAAGAGGTGCTGCAGCACAGGCAGTATGAGAGAAATAAAGTGCTTTATCATTATTAACCTGTCACAGTAGAGACACAAAATAAAATGTTGAACCTGAAAATCACCATAATAAGGCCCCTTTTAAATGTTAAACTTAATGAATGGATTTCTGTTTGTTGGTGTTAAACGTTTTTTAAACTACATGTCTCAAAATGTGGATCGCTGCAAGATCCAAAATATGTAAACAGCAGACCTCCACTGTGAATTGTTGATTCTCTACCTCACTGCTCAGTAACAAACAGACAGATACGCTGCTGAGTGCTGCTGATCATTTCTGTAGATTAAAGTGAGGAACATTTATATTACAGTGCATCCAAGTTCAAGCTTTTCATCCTTCAGTGTTACAGCTGTTTTTTTGTAAACAGAGATTTCTATTTCTCTTTAACGAGAACCCGAATTAAATGTCGTCTGCAGCCGGAGTCGATTTCAAGTTTAGAGCAGTTGAAAGCTTGTTTTAAACATATTTAAATTAGCGTTAAACTGGCAGAACGGACTAAAAACTACACAAGAAAATGTGCTCCCGCTGTTATGTCTTTTAGGCAGGTTTTTGAAAACTCTTCACATAAAAACAGAACTCCTGAAACCCAGCCGCAGCCAAACTCGAGTTCATTTTTGTCCGTGAATCTGGAGCAGAGAACAAAGATGGAATCTGTTGGGAAGAATTCAAAATGCATTCCTTCGATAAGCCGGGTAAAGTCAGGAGGAAGGTTTTTCCCACAGCGAGCAGCAAAGATCTCACTGTCAGTTTCATGCACACCTGCTCTCTACCTGTACAGAAACACTTCTTTGATTTATGTGCGGTTTCCTTTTTATTTTCACTCCTCTGACTTCTGTTGACTTTCTGACATCACTTCCTTGGTGTCACTTTTTCCCTCACCCCTGAAGGCCAAAAGGTGAAGGACAGAGGGAGTTTCCCTGCTGCCTAACACGAATCCTGTCATCTAATCCCGTTTTATTTTAACGGGAAAATATGATGAGAAGCGTGGGCCTGTTTTTTCCAGAACCTGTCAAGTCAAATTTGAGCTGCCGCTTGTCCACTGTCCTTCTGGGTGTGTGTGTTTGACCTGCTGTGTGTTTAGTGGCCCTGCCCCTCACATTAACATCAGTAAAGTACTGTATTTAACCTCAGTGGCCATTTCACCTGTGTGACCTTAGCTAACCACAGCTATTATTATTATTATTGTTTTCTTGCAGGCAGTTGAGGTAGACTTGATTGTTGGCACAGGAAGTTGAGCTGATAATTAAGGCTTTTGTTTGGAAATGAGATGTGGAAAAAAGGCAGAATAGATGAAGGATAGATGGCAAATTCCAATTAAAGTTGCTATAGTAGTTTGATGAACCATGTGTTTTCTTTTAGACATGTTTTGGTTCTCTGTATGATGGAACTAGAGATGTAGAGTTTGAGAAAATCCTGATCAAATTTAAAAGGAGCAGCTTGTTAAGTTAACGTCAATGTACATTGAGGTGTAAAGGAATTCCTTAA